ATATGCAATGAAAACAAAAAAAAAAAAATTGCCGAGGAGTTGAGTGACAATGTGACAAAGTTGCAAACTCTGTTCTTTTTTTTTTTATTAATTAATTAATTTATTGCATTCTTGGTCAACCTTGAAAATGGACCCATTTTTTTTTTCATGTTTTGCATTACAAAAATAAATATAAAATATATATATATACACACATACTAATGCTGCAAGTGACAACAACTCCCAAGTGCCATGGCCTGCAAAAGCAGCAGGCCAGAGAGAAAGCTGGCAATGAAGTATATCCAAGGCGTCTAATGCCAGCGTATGCCAAGTGGAAGGGGTTAAAGTGGCTTAAAAATTATTTATTTAGTACAATTTGTTTAATAACCATAAAATCACTTTCAAACTTTGCGAATAATTCATTAACTCAACTCAACTTAAAATTCTCTTCTCTGTTTTTGCATTCAAAAGGGGAAGGTGGTACAACCGTTTGTAGTGAAAGTGTCCAAAGTAAAAGAAAACAGGGCTCCCCCAAGCCCTAAAGTTCTGACAGACCGTTGGGCCTCATTCCCCACGTACGTGAACCCATGCACTGGAGCTTGTCGTCAATGGTCCCGTCGGACCATTATATAGCCTGCTAATGCACAGTGCTAATACTATATTTTTATGGAGTGCCGAAAATGAAAATTAAATAATAAATAATACATAAAAAAACATGATGTCACGACAGATATGAAAAGAAAAAAAAAAAGAAAACAGTGTTTAAAGCTTGGTTCTCCCAACAACTGAAAATTGGAGTACTATTTTGACATCAATAATGTGAAAGTCCAAGAAACGTGTCATATCAGAATAGCGTACATTGCCTCATTTTTTTCATTCAAATAAGAAATTTGTACTTATTTTTGGATGTTCAGCACTCTTCTTTATCTCCACAAATACCTTATCCAAACTTTTCTAAACTAAATAATGCTGCTGCTGCTGCTTAATTTCAAAGTATATATTGAAACTAAAATTCTCATGTTTTTATCTCGACAATGGAAAGACATATTTCTATAATTGTTAATTATTAACGTTTAGATAAACGTCGAAATAATATTTTAATTAAGTTAAATATTAATCTTAAAAGTTTATTTAGTTAAAATAAAAATATAAAAATTTAATCGAATATAATAAAAAAATAAAGACTTATATAAACTTTCTTAAATAATTTAAGGACTTATTTAGATATTATATTATAAAAAAATTATTCACACAAAAACATTATAGAAACATCAAAATTAAATTTAAAAATGATATTTAATATGCGATTATGTTTTTTTATTTGGCTCTCCGTGCTTCATATTTCTTACAAGATGTAATCTTTTATTTTCCAAATCATAAATTGTTTGATTAAAGGCATAATTTTCAATTCATTGTATAAAGTATAATTTTTTATAAAAACTTGTATTAAAAACAAAGAAAGAAAATTAGTTTTTAAAATTATTTGTAATTACTATCAAATTAAAATTTAATTATTTTATATTATAATTCACTTACGTAGTAAGTTTATTAAAGTTTATTTTGAATTCAATTATATATTGACTTTGAGACAATGTAATAAATTATTTAATTAAAATAAAGTAATTACCATTGGCGTGAAAAAAATTTAGTGGTAAATAAATGGATTAAAACAGAAAAAATTGGAACAAGGAGAAAAAAAGGATATATAAACAAAAAGAGGATATTTTTAGTTTTCAATAAAATTTGAATAAATATTAATTTGACTAATGGTATTTTAATATCAACTACTTTTTAAAAAGAGATAAAATGTATTTTCAAAACGGATGCGAAAGGTTTATTTTCAATAAAATCTCATGCATGACAATTATTTTTTCTAATTTAATAGCATATAATTTAACATACTTAATGAATAATTAATTTATAGTTTAAACTTATTAAAATTGAATTTGATAGTAATCAAAGGTGATTTAAAACTAATTAAATATTTCAATCATATTTATAACTAATTAAATATCACAATTTGTAAATAAAAAAAGTCTTGAAAAGGAAGAAATAAAATATAAAATGAATAAATAAATAAATAACAAAAAGATATATTTATCTTTTCGTTTAAAAGTAATTTGGGTATTAACATTATTACATTTTCAAAACCAAATATCGAGAAAGTAAGAAGATGTTTTCGTCGTAGGTTGAAACTTAAGATCAACCTCTCGTGGTCTTGAGCTGTGAAAATAGAGTTTAAGTAAGTACATAAATTACGAGTTCAGGTCCTTAACCCA